ACACACACACACACACACACACACACACAGAGTTCTAGTTTTACCTATACCAGATTATGGAGAAATTGAACTTTTTTTTTTAATCTTGCTCCATAGCCAGACATTCAGTTGGACTGAAAGCCTTTTGGAGTGACCTGGACTGGATCAACTATTTCTGCAGCTTTAAATCAAGTCCTAAAATCACAGTGAGTACTCTCTGCATATTACTTAATTAGTAGTTTATTTTGTAATTATATTACTTTTATTACTAAATAGTAATCTATTTATTCCAGTAATTAAAATATGTTAACTAACAAAGTATTTATGCACCCAGACTGTTCTTGAAAGTAACTTTATTGAATAAATAGAAATAAATTATTTTATTCTGATCCAGAGTAATCCAAAAGCATAGCACACATGTATTAAAACATAAGGCACTGCGCCCAATATACCTTCTTGTATCTCATGGCTTTTTCACCCACTGTTTCTGTTTTGTTTTCTGTATTCATGTATTTATGCATGCTTATGTATGTACTGAAGGTAGATATCTGAAATCTTGTTAACATAGTTAATATTCATTTTTCTTCCTTCATATTATCTGTGCTTATTTGAAGCTATGTGGTAAATAAAATACTTAATTTATTCATCTAGCAATAAATATCATTTACAATATCAGTATTTAGGTTAGTAATTACTACAGTTAAGAAGGTCAGACATATGACTAATGGTGGTATGTGTATGTGTATAAATATTGTAGGCATGGATTTGTACATTCTGATTTCTGCAATTATTTCTGAAAGGAGTTTGCAACCTTTTAACTTTTTAACACCAGCAACTTTAATGACCAGAAATTGAAAAATATATAATTTTATATCTAATTAAGTCTAATGTATCATTGAACTAGCCATCAGCTCTTATCAGTTTTGATATGTTAATGCCTCTGTCTAATAGTAGCTTGTCTATGGCAGTCTTCAGTAATTTTCAGTCTATTGCAGGAAAATCTATAAAAACTGAAAGGGAAAGCATATATTCACACAAACACTTTGTGGAAATCAGAACATCCAAAAAAAAAAAAACCTACAAAGAGACGGGTTAAGCAATATATTATGCTACCTTAGCTAAATTTGGATTTCTACAGGATTTATTAAATGGTCAAGTACAAAGATTGGAGGTCAAGTGTCCTCCAGTCTAAACCGAAGATCTTTTTCTTAATCTCCTTTTCACTGTAAAGGTACCAGAGAAGGATGCCCATCTTCTCCTTCGATTTTTAATGTATATTTAGAGCCAGGCTGTGCTGTCAGACAAAATCATAAAGCACATGCCTTCTCTCACAGTTCATTAAAATATAAATTAGTATTTAGGTTGATAATATTGTATTGCTTATTTCTGAATATCAAGCTTCAATTCTGGCCTTGGTGTATTACAGATAAGTAAGATGCTGAGTTTTATGCTAATTTAGGTTAAAATCGATGCCAATAGCCAAAGATTTGTTTTTCAATATATTAAGAAATGTACATTTTTCTATATGTATTGAATATATTAATTGTTCTTAAAGCATAGTGATATTTGTCGAAGTAGTACATTAAATATGAATAAGATCTTAAAGATATTTGTTAGAATGATAGATAGAAGTTTTTAAACCTTATCCTATGGGATAGGGTAAACTTTCTCAAAATAAATGGAATTCACAGGATATATTATATTTTGCATGGGATTAATACACAGGCACACACACACAGGAGACATTTTTTAAAACTCAGTACATTGTTCCATAAATTTCTATGGGGTTGTTCAATTCTGAAGATATCCTTGAAAATGTTGCAGTTGTAAGTTAAAGAGGAGGATTTGGATTTTGTAAATCCTGAATTACATTCTTTTTCTACACTTTGCATACCACTGTTTACCCCAAAAGGGAATAGTAGGATGGGTATGGAAACCCTTGTATTTTAGATTTTTTTAAAAAAATATTCCAATTATAAGCACAGATTGAACAAAATAGTTATTTAAGGATGTAAAAATAAACATATAAATTTATAATTTAATTATTCATGCAAGTCTATTTTTATAACAGATTTCAAGTCCTTAATAATTTAAACCATTTTTTTGTACTCTGTTTAAAATAATTCCAAAAATTTCCAAAATCTCCAACAAATAATGAATGTATGGACACAACTGTGGGGAAGACTTTCTGTTCAAATCCTTATACAATTAATTAGAGCTTCTCAAGAGCATTCATTCACTTCAGTGGAATTTGCACAGGAAAATTTCCCAGTGAATTGGGCCAATGATTAATCAGGAATAGATTAAACACAATCACTTCTTTACAAAGGCTTCAGCTAATGTTCGGAATGGAGGCTCTGGCTGATTCAGAAAACTCAGTTCTTCTTCTCCTGACTCCCCTGTACAGGAACTTAAAGAACCAGTTGGTGAGTCTTGTCCCTCATAACTATATGGGTGTAAATACTCTTTAACCAGGTTATGTTCTTCATCTTCTCCACAAAGAAATACCATCTAGACAAGGAACAACAAAAATATCACCATTTTTTAAAATGTATGTATGATACAAAAATAAGTTGTCTTCTAATTGTCTGTTATATCTCTGAACATGAAGTCATCTGTATTGTTCATACTATATTTCACAAATATAATAAAATGGATTTTTAAAAACAAAATCAAATCTCTTTTTTGAAAGAATATATTGTTTGTTTATTTATTGGAGAGAATAAAACTATAATTGTCATTTACTGGGAGTTGAAGTCCACATATCTTAAAGTTGCCAGGGTTGAGAAACACTTTTCTAGGTGTATTGTCTTCAGCTGTCAGATTCCCTATAGCTGTGGGAATTGATATAAATGTTTGTGTCTGTGTGTGCTACCAGAATGGGGAAAGATAGATTAAGATTTTCTTGGCAGTTGCCCCAAAAATCTGGAAACTCCTGCTGAGGGAATTTCATCATGCCTATAGCCTCTTGCTTGATTAGCTGTTCATATTGTTTTAGATGTTTTTTACATAAATGGTATAATATTTTTGTTATTTGTAAAATACATTGCCACCCAGTTTGGATTGTTTTTAAGAACTATGATACTAAGTACTACCTAAAAATTTTATTGTGAGCC